TGAGGTTTGAAAGATCCCGACCCCTGTCTTGAATTCATAAGGCTTTCTGGATGTATCATGCCAAGCCAAATTCCCCACACAACTACGAGTTCCTCACGTCGCTTCCCTCGGCATCGATACTTCATGGGCCACTTCATGCGCACAGCTGCCCGCTTTTCTTTGACGACATGGGTGACCATCGTGATTGAGTCGTGGAAAGTGCCGTCCGTCTCATGTCTCGATCTTGCCTCGCCCTTTGCCTTTGGTCCGACTTTGTTCGGGAGCTTCTTTGGAGATCATCGCTTCATCTGAAAAGCGACTCAACTCCGTCCAGGGGCAATCCAAACCAAGAGACTGAACAGCACGCTCGCAGGGAACTGAGAAGGGTGGACTTTCTGAATGGACACGGATTCCCCCCCTACGCATTAACAGGGGGGGATTTTGAACGTAGGCGTCCTTTTGGTAAAATAGCAGGGTTTCCCTGGTAAATAGGGAATAAAGCCCATCTAAACCAGTGGAACCCATCTATTTCCAAACCAACCGGTCAAAAGAACACCTATGAAAGGACTCCCTGGTGCCATGGCAACGTTGCAGGGAGTGTGGTTGGTTCTCCGGCCGGTTCAAGAAAGGAAGTAACTAATTCAAGAGGTTGATAAAAGGGCTCCGTGAATCAAGGCTTCCGAACTGTGTGGATTAGGATGTCTCAAACCGATTCAAACCCAGAGGTTGACTTGGTGGACAAACCTATCTGATGGTCTTGGAAACCAGCGACTGAATGCTACCATGTGCCGGAACGCACTTGGTCTTTTACATGTCAAACCCTTCAAAGAAAACAACTTCATCCATGTAGCATACCAACCGAAATACTGTCAATAATAGCATCTGACCGCCCCAAAACATCTATGTGTTTTTCCCCGAAATATGGACCCCAAAGAATGATTGGATTCCCTTTGCTTTCCTTCAAAGCCAACAAGAAAAGGTACTGACGCACGAATCCTTCTGATGGTCATGGCCTTGGTTCAAGTGATAGGGTGTCAAAGAACCACACGCCTGTTCTGTGAGTTGCTCTTGTTTCCACTCCCAAGAAGTGCGAGAACTTAAAAACAACTCCAACTCCGAGCAAGGTGAACTCCGAAATTGCAACCCTCATAAACCTCGCTTCCGGAGTGGCTGGCCAGAACAAGTCCAACCCTCTCCCCTCCACAGAAAAAAAAGAAAGAACAAAAAAACACACACACACACACAAACACAAAAAAGACACACACGCCATGTCCTCCCGACCCGCGCCCTCAAAACACAGAGGCGCCGGCCCCAGCGCGCCGAGAAGTGCCACGACCGCCATACGGTCCGCCTGTCGCGGGACGCGAAATGACGCGATTCCGGGGCGCCCGGTGTTTCACCAAGATCCTGTAGCCTTTCAATCAAGTTTCTCCTACCAGTTCCATATGAACGGACAGTATTCATCTTACCCAACATTTCCCTGGTTTCTCACAAAACCCAAGAACCCAAGGCCCAGTTGAACCAACCATACTGTGGATGGACGAAATCCATTTCGCACCACTTAGAAACCATGGTTGAAGTAATTGTTTGTTGGTATTTACGTTGGGGAATCATGGTTGGGTTTTTCTTAGGTGCAAAAAGGATTTTGCAACCATCCACAGTATGGTCGTCAAGGTCCCCCAATAGAAGCCCCCAAGTCCCGATAGCTTTCTTGCGGCTAATGGGTCGATCCCCTCTTTTGGGGGCCCCTGACAACCACAGGACATGGCCACTCTGGGTGTCTGGGGCTCCATCAAACCTTCTGGGCTCCTGCAAAACTAGTTTATGTAGAGTAGACTGAATGTGAAATATGTGAAACATCTAAAGATATATGAATTTCTGTACTCCTAGGTGGGCGAAGATTTGGTTTTTCTCAAATGGGAGTCGACCCCCAAAATGGCTTCAGTGTTCCTTTTCGGTTTCCGCTGCCGAGCAAAAGGGTTCCATTTGCAGAAACTCCCTTGCGGCCGCACCCCTCAGAAAGGCACCATTTGCGTTCCACCCATGAAAAGCCCTCTTGTAACCACCCATTTAGCCCTTCCGTAAAACAAGCTCCTCAAGGCCCTGATGTTTGGAGGCATATCACCAGAAAATGGGTACATGTCTGGAACCCTTGAGGGACGTAATACCCCGCGAAAAACGATGACCAAGTTGCAACCATACGGGGTGATGGGGGAGTTGACTTCTGATGCACGCCTCGGAATCGTGTATTGTTGCGTTTCTTTGATTACGCAGCAGCCTAACCGCAACTGAACGGCGGTCTCGCCAAGTTCCGCACCTCTGAAGGCTGGTCCGGGTAGCCGGCGGCCAGGCTGTGGAGTAAGAACCTCACTGGCGCGTCCGCGCCCCGCTTTGGTGGTCCTCTTGGTTTTCCCTAAAGCCAAAAGCGGGGAACTCCCAAAAAAGATGAATGGATTTGTTTTTTGGGCTCTGAGTTGGTGGAACTTGGTTGAACAAAAATATGTTTTCTCCATTCCTCCATTTCTCCATGTTGGCTTTCCTTTTTCGCAGCTCCGCCTGCACCTGAAGCAGCATGGGAGCTCTAACCCAAGGAGGGTACAGCCCAATCTTCCGTTTGCCGAAGTCCCCTGGAAATGAGCAGAAACCCATTGAAACCACCAGCGGAAAATTTTGCAAATGGAAGCTTCGGGGCACCAGCACCTCCATCAACTCCAGTGAACTGGACAAAACGCAACTCAAAATCCAGCAATATATAGATGCCCATTAAGTCAACAATGGATGGTCCGGATGGTTTATCCAGTTCTGCATAGGCCTCACCACATTTCCGCAGTGGAAAACTCAAACAAGTCCGGACTTCCCAAAGTGTGCCTCTAAAACGTTCGCTCCAAACAGTGACAGGGTCAAGTCCGGAAAGTGCAGAACCAGCAACTCAAAGCGATGACTTTGTGTTTTTGGGCGCTGCTCATGTGGGAATGATTTTTCAGTGGGATGGTGCCATCAAATTTCAATTCCAGTTGTCTTGGTCAATGTTCCAGCCCGAGCCTCATTCCCAAAATGCCGTATTAAGGTGTCCGCTTTAAACGTCAGCCTGAGGTAGCCCCACAAGAAAGGCGAGGATCTGAGTAAAACCTCGAACACATGTGATTCTGCGGGGTTTTCTTAGCCAGCCAAAAAACACCTTCCTAATTTGGTGATTTAGAGTAGCCTCTTATACAGCTGGTGGATGTTGCATACCCTCACTCTCCCACGTTGCCATGGCACTTGGCAGGCAGACCCTAGAGGAAATGATCTTCCAGGTGCTTTGCCACAGGTGCGATTTGTTCGTGGAGAGGGCGGACATTCAAAATCATGCGTGTCCTTTTGATCGGTTGGTTTGGAACGGATCCGTTCCGCTGGTTTAGATCGGCTTGCCCCATTTACCAGGGAAACCTGTCTACTTTGCCTTGACTAGGTCCAGATTTGCGAGGTTAGAATAAAAATACCAACTTTGTTCGGTTTTGTCTATATTTTAGTAGGGGAACCCTCCGCTAAAAAAGGGATTCAAAGGGCATTACTGGGAGACCTAGTTAAGGACCCCGGATCAATCCCTTGGCCTCGCGCGGTGAGCTGCCCATGCCCCAAACTTCCGCCAAGGCGCCAAGTGCCTTGTCCCAGCTCTTTCCAGCGAGACACGTTTCGCCTCGCAACCGGTGCCCGGCCGAACCTGAACGCCCCGCTTGCTGCCTCTATTGACACCCCCCCAGCAAAAAACAAAACACCCTGAGGCCCTGAGGTCCTTTTTCGGACCTCAACATGTAAAGGGCTATCAGATTTTCAAAAGAGATCTCCAGTTGATTTTTTCATTCTAGAGGCAACTCACTTGAAATCGGCCCAGGTGATGTTCACCCCAAGGGGACTCTATGGGTTCTGACAAAAACAGTTCGTGGAATCATCAGTCTATGGGATTCATCCCCGTGAGCCGGCAGTCCGTTGCTAGCGCAAAGCATCCCAGCAGTCACCTTCATTGTAATCTGGTTTGTCGCCCGTTGCACGTGTGCCTTGACTCCTTGGTCCGTGTTGCAAGACTGGTCAAAGAGAACCATCTAATCAGCAAGACAATCTCGCCTGAATCCCTAGAGGCGTCAAAGCAATTCCGCATAAAAGCCGCGCTGAGAAACACCGGAAGCATTCCTTCACGTGTGTGCGAAAAGCTTACGCATTCACACGCAAGGCTAGTGAAAGCTCGCAGCAGTCGCAGCCAAAATCTTGATTCCATTCGCTTCCTCTTCAGCGATGTCAAGCACTTTCAACTCTCTTTCCAAAGTCCTTGTCATCTTTCTCTCATGGTACTTAATTGCTATCGGTCTCGAGTTTGTACTTCGCTGTAGATGAACGTTAGCTAATTTACGCTCCAATTCCAAGGAACGTGACTTTAAGGGAACGCACCGTACGTCAAGCGACGTACAGGATTCTCACCGAGTGAATGCTATTTTCCAACAAACAGGCTTGCGCTTGCACCGCTGTTGGATGCTGTGTCTGCAAGTCACAACCCGGACCCAAGACCGAAGCCTTAGTTTCCAACCGAAGCTGTTCGCCCTTCGTTCCTGTTTGGTTCCTTTTCCTCCGCTTGCTTGTATGCTTAAGTTCAGCGAGTTTGCTTGTCTGACTTCATGCTAAGATTGGTGTTTCAGCACCAATTGCTTGGCGTGCTGGCATGAATGAGACAAAACGGACACACGGGCCCAGCGATGCGCAACAAATCACTCCAGCTTACCTCCCGGTTTGTGTTTAGCGCACAGCTGCAAATTCTGACGCAGCAGCGTGCAAAGAGGCTGAAGGCTTCACACAGAAGTCCGCAATGCGAAGATATGAAAAGCGCTGAAGCAAACATACTCTCAGGCGTGTCCCAAGAGTGCAATGCGAGTTCAGGGATTCGTTCACGGAGCTCAGCATTAATTCCTTCCCCCTTTTAATAAACGGACCCTACTTGCAAATACTATTTTTTCCAGAGCACCGGGTCCCCAATACTACTTTTAGAACAGGCAAATTCAAAACCAATACTAAACTCTCGGATATTTGTGCTGACCCAAACCAAAAAAATGCGAAGCGTCTGTCCCTTTTAAAGTTTGTATTGCAAACCATTTGACAAAATCGATCTTAGGCCCGCTTCCAGGGATGAGAAATTGTCTTTGTCTCCGATGGCCCCGTCAGACCCAACAGGACCCTGTTAATAAATATGTTTCGCCCCGGAGGCTGATTTACTAGTGGGGGGGGGGGGGGGGGTTTATTATTAGGGGAAGGGATTATCAAGGCTGTCATTGGCGGCATGACTTTGTTGTTGTTTTGCTGATATCAATGGTGTTTTTCTGTTTTGAGCGATGTTGGATTTGGCATGTTTTCGGGGTCTTGGCGGGGGCAAGTGAAGTGACGATCTAAGGAACTGCTAAAATTGGAAAATGAGAGAGTTTTTGCCAAATCTCCACTAGTATAGGGGCGTGGCTGCGAAACAGCCCTAGCCGTCCGAAGCTCATAACATGTTGGGCTTGGCTGCATCCTCCGCATTCTCAGGGATAGGCAGTTAGTCGCGGCAGTCGTCGCACCACAGATGGCGTCGGCAGATCACGTAGTGATTTCAATACCCAATCACAATATCGAGTGCATGACTAGGACCTCCAGTAGAGAGGTTCGAATAAGGGTAGCCTTTGTCTGTAGTCTATTCTAGTAGGGGAACCCTCCCCAAAAGAAGGGGAAAAGGGCACTACTGGGGGACCTAGATGATGTTCCCCAAATGGGAATTGTCTGCTTCAACGACTCGATTCTTCAATCGGGGCTTTTGTGGGGGTTATAACCACGGGTTATTTATTACCCACTTACCAAGTACCCTGATCCTTTTAATTAGCAACTCCAAACAAACACGACCATCTGACTTCAGAACTGCTCCAAAGCGGCATCGCCGGAGCTAGATCTCGACTTGCTCGGGGAAATGAAGACCAACAAGAGATTGAGCAGCCCGAAACGGTTTTTCTTCAGGCGCCGCTTTTTATGGCCTGGACAAATCTGCCCATCCCCCTTTTGTGGGCTATTGATCCAGCAATTCTGAGCAGTTGGAACCGCGGCTTGCTTTTTGGCGGACGCCGTTCTCCCCGGTACAAGCCTGTGAACTCACAAAGGCAAAGTAAGTGCGGAAAACTCCGCCAGTGATGTACTTTGATCAGGCCACCCCGCATTTGTGGTTTGGATTGGTTTGGGGAGTCAAAGATCTAAACAGGTCCCTGGCTCTGATGAGCAAACCAAACCGGGCGAAAACGACTCACCCATTTGGAGGGAACCTGATAGGCCAAGTTGTGTGTGTCATAGGTGTCCGACCAAAGGGAAAAAGCCGACGGCACTGGAAAATGACCAAAGGGAAACCAGCGCCATCGATGTTCAAACCAACTCGCCTAAAAAAGACACCTATGGTGTGTGTGTGTGTGTGTGCTTTCCCCCGGCACAGCGAATCTGAGCGCCCTGGCCCCTCGTCGCTCATGGGGTCCTGTCAAAGGTTCCAATCAGAGGTTCACGGGTCAGAACCCAAAAAAGCGCTGGAGTGCCCCAAAAAAAGGTTAAGTAGGAGGATCCGGCAAGTTGGGGGGGTGCTAGTCTAGGTCCTCCAGTAGAGAGGTTAGAACAAGGGTACCCTTTTTTCTGTAGTCTATTTTAGTAGGGGAACCCTCCCCCCAAAAAAGGGTAAGAGGGCACTACTGGGGGACCTAGCTGCAGCGTCTTCATCCTTTTGACCTTTCTCTTGAAGAAAGAAGGAATGACCTCCGCCCCTGAAAGTCACAGCCAGGTGGTCGCCCAACTTTCACGAAAGGTCTCGTGGACATCTAAAGAACGGATTTGGCTGTGGGTCAAAACCGCTTTGGATCCCATTTTGGGGAAGGTGCACCATCCATTTTAGAACCTATTTTAGTGGGGATTGGGATGTTCACTGGGTCAAGAGCCAAATCGTAGCCCCAGTGAACATCCCAATCCCAACTACAATAGGTTGTAAAATGGGTGGTGCACCTACCCCAAAATGGGATCCCATTGGTGTTGACCCACAGCCATGTGCCTTTTGATCCCTTCGAAGAATTAGATTCACCCATCTCTCTAGGGGTTGATTCCTCAAACGGCCGTTTTCCCGTTTTTTGGAGGTTTTAGACAAAGACGGATCCGTGGAAAGAATGGGGAAGGTACCCCTAGAATCTCCATCAGAACGGGCCGACCTTTCTCAAACTCACAGAACCTTGGAGCCAGAGATCGCGGCGAAGCCCATGGGGGGGCTCTTAGATCCAACAAATGGATTTCGGGCTTCCGGCCAAAAAACAAAACAAACAACCCATCATGCCAAGATAAACCCATCAACCCCAAGTGTGCACTCAAATGCACAGCCTAGTCCACCATCATCCCCCCCCAACAAAAGAAGACTCAAACAAAATTGACAAACGAGACCCCAGATGGGGGTTGCTCAACATGGTAGACTCCCTTTCGACGGTTCTACAGAGAACACCACTCCCTAGAGGGGCCTGTCATGCTGAGAAACACCCACACTTGGTCAGCATATAAACCTAGGATTTGAATATCTAGTTTGTTGACTTTTTTGAAGCCCCCCCCCCAAAAAAAAAAACAACAACAACAAAACAACTTGCGATTGTCCTTTCGAATTCCCTTTATTTCCACAAAACTGGGCCCACCAACTCCGAATAACACAAAGCACACAGTTGGCAAAGATGTCTCTCCGACGTCGACGCCACGTGAGTCATAATCAAAACCCGGTATTAAAATGGTCTACCCAAAACCATGTAAAGAATTAAGAAGGCGAATATCCGCAGCTATTTATGGCAAGGGGATGGTCCTTTACTAACCTTCATCCACCAAAGGGTTTTGAGCACGTGGCTAACGTCGAATAATACCTCCAACACAGCGCCGATGCCTGCGGCCAAGTCTTCTGCCAGCTGGGCGTTGGTGTCCAGCGCTGGAGTTTTCGAGCGGCGACGGATGCGTGAATCTGGGCTGTGCCCCTTCGATCCCCTGCTACCCAAAAAAGTGCCGAGTGGGTGAAATGGAAAACTCCAACCCAAAAAACAAAAAAACAAACAGGACGGCTGGGAACCGCCAAGTTGGAAGATCCGTGATTCCCAATGGGGGGGGGGTTCTAACAGACCTCATGCGAACGTGGAAAGGCCTACGACATACTCAGTGCTTCCTTTTGTTGTTCTTTGTTTGTATAGGAAACAGCCCCGATGCAAGATCGTATTAAAAACCGATGCAAGGACTGAAGGACACACGTTTCCCTAAACGTTACAATACATTTTGCGGCCAGAGTTTCCCAGTGGCAACCACTTGCTATGTTCAGCCTACTTAGTTGGACATAACCAAGTCTGTATCATCTTACCCCCAACTTGTAGTTTGGTTTGGTGGCTTGGACCTAGGGGCGGGACCTTCCCCCATTTGGTTTCAAAGGTACTGGGTTCAACCCCCACCACAAATCCAAGCCAAAAACATAGGCCTGATCATAAGCGTGATAACAGGGGTTGGCTGACGCATTGCTATGGGAAGAACCTACTTACGGAGCTTGAGCATCCAAGAATGGGGCTTCTCTGGTTGGTCCAGTCAAGCGGGGGCTTTCAATGGCCCCCCCTCCCGAAATAAACCAAAACAAATCAATGGAATAATACCTTGCATAGTGGCTTGAGGGAGTTTCCACTACCTCCAAGCCTCCACACATTCAAAAACGGTTGGCATAAACCCAAATTACATTCAATATGTTGAGGTGTGCATGTGTGTAGACATACACAAACCATGTTCCAATCGCTTGTCTGTGGTCTTTTGTAAAAACCTCCTGGATTCATGGGGCATGGGCTGCAGATGTAGGTTTCATTGGTTGCAACAAGCAACCGCGTGTGCAGACGAGCCTTGGTCAATCTTCCCGTTTAAGCCGCAAGCCATGATCCAGATTCCTTCAGCAGGATTCATACTCCTATCGTCCAAATTTTCCCTGAATCTTGTCAGGAGCACGCTTGCTCCACTGTTCAATTGATAGTGTGGATTCTGCAGCATGGCCGGCCTCCTGGCTCCGTTCTGAAGCCAGCAAGCCTTTAAACTTGAAAAGATTGAGCCCAAACATCCAAAGCGAGGTTCTACACTCAGCTTGAATCCGACACTTCCGAGGAGTCGAGCTTACACCATCACCGCCCCAAGCTCCGTGACCATCCCTACACTAAGAGACAGCGTGGTTTCACCAAGCCAAGTCGAACGGTAGAAAAAGCCGACCCACGCTGGGGCTGTTCACCCGAAATGCAAACTAATATCACATCAAACGAAATCCCAGAAGCGAATGATTCAACAAACAGCTTTTTGCCACACACGCAGCAAACGCAACATTTCCAGTCTGAACTAACGCGCCACGAAACCCACGGCTCGTCGCTCCCAGACACTCCGTACCTTGCTGCACTGCTCTTGGGCCCAGTCGAGGATGCGCTCGCCTTTCGAAGCCAAGCTACGAAGCTACGGGCTGCATCTGTGTGCACTGCTTGCCTCAAAAGGGGTTTCTTCAGGTTCCAAAGGTTCCTAAGGCCTCAGGGCACTTATATAAATTGGCCTAACATAATAAGCATGTCTTCTTCTCTCCTTTGGTTCATCTGTGTTTTTTTTTTTTTGGGGGGGGGGGGAATTCAAAAACACAACATTTGAATTTAATCATGAATGATTATAGGAGTAAACCATTTGCTCACCCCGTAAGGACCTGCAAATATACGGTTATCACCAGGCAGAACATGGCAGAACCAAACGTGGTTGGGGTTATCTCAGGTCGATTTGCTTTGAACAACTGAGCTAGACATGTTGTCGCCCCTATCTTCAGACTCCCGAAGGGACCAAACCCTAGAAACAGAAACAAACAACTTTTGGAGGAGACTCCAAAAAACCCAACTTTCCTTCGAGGACACCGTCGTCTTCCGATGTCGCTCCGGACCTATCTGTCAGCCCCAGCCTTCCAGCTTCTCCATCTCAGCAACCTTTCCTCAGGTACAGCGTCAAATAATCACATCCGGTGTGCGACCAAGTGAGGGTCAACGGCATAAACAAATGAAAGCAGGCATGCGTGTATATATATATGTTATATATATATATATATATATGTAGTATATATATATATATAATATGTACACAATGAACGTATGTATCAGATCTGGCAATTTCCAAAAGCAACAATCTGTCCCCCAAAAAGCCGCCCGCGTGCCGTGGGGCCTTTCTGTATCCAATGCAAGAGACGTGACACGCTCAGCCTTATCCAGGTGGTCCTGGAAACTTTCGATGGCCTGAAACTTCAGAAGTCAAAGCAACTTGCGGAGAAAATAGGATGTGCAAATGCTGAGATAGATGCAAAGAGAAAGCCACAAGAGCGCAATGCGCAAAACGGGTGCCTCGAGAGCCGTGGCTGAAGAGAAGAGGAATGCGAGCGCAGATGCTGATCCAGGCGCAGCATGGAGCAACCGCAAGAAATGGCGAGAAACCCTCCCCCAAAAGAAAACAACACAAAAAACAAAGAAACACACGAAAACTGAGAGTGCCCGACCTTTTGTCTGCCGGATCGATTGTTGTTCGTGGGTTGCCTTCTTGTATTTATTGGGTTTCCTCGAGTTTTCCTCCCACAGCAAGGAGCAGCAAGGACAAACCCTCTACAAGAGCCAAGCGTTCACATTCCAACCACACCTACAAAACCCTGTAGCCTTACTTCCTGAGTCTGGCCTAAAGAAGTCCGATGCTTTGCCAAGATGGTCTTCGCACAAAAAACAAAGCTCTCCTTCCCATGGGGAAACCACTTCCGATGGGACAGGCGCGCTCCCCAAAAGGAACAACAAGTCGTCCAAACAACCCGATCGTCAGCTTCCATTGGAGAGAGGCCCTATGCACAGTGAGTACCTGACGCAGGCAACCTCGTGAGACCAACTCCCAAGCAAGTCCTCCGCACTGTTGAATGAGCTCCTGATTCTGCAGCATGGCAGAGGCAAAAACCACATGTGAAATTGATATTGAATTTTGAGACTTCAAGAAGCATGTCCGCCTGTTGTTGTCTTTTGGGGGGAGCACGGTAGTCTGCTACACGGCGCAATTCCATGCCCCAGCTATCGGATCCATTTACTTACCCTTGTTTGGAGAAAACGGTTGGAATTCCCGTCCCAGTCCTTCACACCTTGGTATGGTTGCAAAGAACTGTGGCTTTTGCAGCCTCTACTAAACATCAACAGAACCCAAACACTAAAAAACGACAACACACGCCAATAACAGTGACGACTCGCTGATTTTTCCCTCCCAACATTGAATCTCTTGCAATACATATATACGAACAGTTGTCGATGACCTTTCATATTTAGTCTACCCATATGTATATATGTATATACATAAACACCTGAATATATATATTGTGATTCGGGCACGAGCCTGTGCCCAGGCAATGGGTAAGTTGGGGTAAACAAGCCACAAAAGAAAGGTTCCCCAAAAGCAAACCAATCCCCGGTCCCAAAGATCAGGGTTTCCCACACACCAGAGAACAACAACCAAAAGGAAAACAAACCAAACAAGAAAAGGGTTAACCCGCAACCTTGGTCGACAACAGGCCGCACGACTGGTCCCTACCAACCTGGCGGCGGCCCGAGGTCTCTTTCTCCCCCGAGATGCCGTCGGTCGACGCAGGGGTTCGGCGACGCCCATTCGAGGCGCGACGGAACCCAAAACTTGAGCCAAAACACCACAGGTCGGTCACTAACGCGACGTCCCTGATGATGATATGAACCATGGCTAATCACACCCCCCTCACGAGGAGCCCGTCATATGACGGGTGGAGCGTGCCATTTACTGATAGGATTTAACTGCTCGCATGCGTCCGCAAACAGCTGGACACTACCGCCGTCAGCGGTGGAGCAAACCCACAAAGGCAGTTGCGCGACATCCCGGGCATTAAATTCCCGCCACCACCCCGAATTAATCGGGGTAACGCTGTCCAACAAACCTTGTGGAAAAGTCCACATGACGACATTAGGTCACAACTGTTTGCATCAACAATGCAAGAAGTTTAATTCTTATCAGAAGCCATGAAATAAAAGATAACGTATGTCCATTAGTACCCTCGCCTAACGGCAAGAGGTACCCCTGACCATGCGTACCTGAAAAATGCTTGAATTCCGCAAACCCGGGAGTAACCCCCCATCAGTTTGCTTTCCCTCTCACTCATACTGCTTCCGGATGAGCACGTCCAGCAGCTCAGCAGCGGTACGGGAGAGACATGACCTCCGCGCCTCAGCGGTCCGGGAGGAACATCACCACCTCCACACCGCGCCGACCATTGGAGAATGGACGCAAGCCTATCGGCCGCAATCCCCGTGACTCAGCCTACCGGCTATCGTCACGTCTCCTCCGGTCACGCCCGCCCCGCGCACGGTCCCTGTCACGATCCCTTTCGGATCTCCTGCGATCATCTCGCCTTCGATCTCGCTCCCGATCGAGTGAATCATCATCACGACGATCACGAGCATCGTCCCTCCTCCTGTCGCGATCATCCTCGCGCCGCGGACGGTATCTGCGCCTCCTCGACTCTCTGGAATCCCTGGTGTCCACGGTCCTAACGGACCTCCGAGAAGGAGTACGGGAAACATCCGATTCCCTATGCCTCCTCCCAGATCGAGAGTTCGTCACGATCTGGTTGAGAGCCTCCAGTGCCGACGCGTCCTCACCATTCCTGATGAAATCCCTGACCTGCTTGTTCAGCACTCTGTTGGTGGAGATCGACAAGAAAGCGTCCACCACCGAACTCTCAGGCAGCACCAGGAAGTGACCCTCCACCGGGCTCGCCGCAGCCCGCTCAGCAGACTGCAGCCGGATCTCCCCGCCTTCAGGCTTCTTTGCCATCGCCTTGGAGGCCGTCAAAGGCGCTACCGCATCCTTTGCCGAAGATCTGCCAAGCGCGGAGTGAAGATCATCCCCGCTAGCTTCTCTCGCTGCCGCACCTGGTCTGCTGTCGACGTCGCCAGGCCTCGTGGACGCCTCCCGCTTTGTCGACTCCTTCGCAGCCTCGTCGGGATCCCAACGGGATTTCCTTTCTCTCTTCTGTCCTTCGGCCGACCCGCGGCTACCGCCGGGAGCGTCACCTCCTCCTGTCTTCTCCTTCTTGACCTCAACCTTCGGTTCGGCCTGCTTCGTCTCCTTAGCCACAGCTTTTGGAGCCGGGGCACCCTTCGCCTCAGAAGCTGAAGCGGCCTTCCCTCTCGGCTCGGCCTTAGGAATCGGGGTCATTTTAGCCTTGGCACTCGGCCTGGCTCCTTCAACCACCATCTCGGCCCAAGACTTCTTCGGCTGAGCTGCTGCTGTATCAACCTCCATCGGAGCAGGTCCAGCATCGTCCTTCGCCTTTGGGACAGATGGGCTACCGCCCTTACCAGATCCTTTACCTGGCACATCACCTGATTTCGGTGGTGGGCCGGAAGGACTACCGCCCTTACCGCCCTTTTCCCCTTTCTTCCCTTTTCCTTTTCCGCCCTTGGGGACCGGCTCCTGCTTGGGACCAGGACCCGGCGCAGCATGATGCACCGATTGGAGTCCCTCGATGTCCACGTTCAAAGGTTCGGGTTGACGACCGTCAAGAACCGTCCTCACCCTTTCGTCACTAACGTAGACGAACGGGTCACGGAAGGGTGCGGGAGGCTCCGACTGTCCGGCGCTGATCGCCTTCTGCACCTTGGCTATCGCCTCCTTCAACCTCTTCTTCTCATCGTACCCCGTCTCCGATACCATGTACTTCCTGAGCTGCGAAATCAACGCATGACTCTCCAGGATGTCCACGTCCTTTCGATGGGTCGGGTACAATGGGGTCAGATGACCAGCCGCAGAACCAATCACGTATGCCATCGGAATATAGAATGACAAGTACGTGTCATGACGAGCGAACTTCCTAACGGAAGTCGTCATACGCCTACCCCACTGAGCAGCGTGTCTTGGGTTGGCCCGGAAGTACTCCGTGACCGACTCAAATCTATCGACTTGGTTGGTCTTGATCAGGTGCTTCGCCACCCACTTCTCCACAAACGCATCCGAGGCCGAAATCCCGGACACATAGGAGAATTGGAATAGCACCTTCGCCAGCTCATCCCACGCCGCATCGACACCTCCCTTGTCTTCACCAAGATAAGGGGGAAGTCTGATGCCGCTCTGCACCGTCATCCTTAGATCGGATGCCATCGAATAGGAAATCAAATTCCTCTTGATGACTCCGACCACTTCGGAGGGAATCCTCCTGGGCTTGAACTGCCCCATGGTCCTCACCCACTCCGGCACGATGTGGCACGTTTCGAAGTCCTTTTCCTCCGCGTTGGGGATAAAGTTCGGGTAAAAGACCGGGAGCGCGCACCCGGGACACAAGTGCATCCCATTCGGCATCAATTCTGCGCACCTCAAGCAGAACGTGGCAGTCACATTCAGCCTGATCTCTTCCCGTGATCGCCTGTGCTCTCCCCTAACGGGGGTGAAGTCACCGTAGTCCCATGCCCGATGGTACACTATCGTGTAATCATCGTACATATACGCCGCCTTCCAAGCCCCCATGTGGATCTCGTTCCTAACGGCAAGAGTCTTCCTTCTCGTCAAAAACACGGGTCCAACCAAGGACCAGTGCACCCGAAGATCCACCATTACCACCACGTACCTACCGGAGTAGTTCCGCAGCCTGTCCCTGACATACCACGAAGGCGATACCTCAGCATCCGGCGCCATGGCTCCCACAAGTGGGATCAGGCCCTCATCCTGCCTACCATCCCCAATGGTCTCGTACACATCGGGCCTCGTGATCAATATCTCGATCATGGCCTTTCCATTTCGCCTCACCCTTTGGAGCTGAACCGCCTTCCGAAAGTCCGAGAACTTCATGATGACGTATCCCACCATGGGGAGTTCATTCCAATGCATCTCATACATCAGAGATCCGCCAGGTGCATCTTCCTGAGTATACCTGTGCCTAACGGCACTGTAACT